GGTACTGGAAACCTAGGTACCTACTCATTGCTAGCAAAATAATGGGTATTGGAGGAGAAATTACAACTAATAATTTACATAATAATATAATTCCTAACTACTATCTATAACATGATTCCTGATACCCATAGAGAAGTATAGTCTTCACCCACCGACAAGAAAGCTTCTCTTTACAACAGACAGAGACCACTACAGAAAACCAAAATCAATAAAAATGCAGTTTGGAGCCCAGTACCAAAGGGATATAGCTACAAAACACTCACACACCTAAGGTTCAGGGAACATTGCAGAAGAGGGGGTAGCAAGACAGTAAGAGCCAGAGGAACAAAGAGTTTGCTGTAAGATTGTGTCTCCTAGTAACATCAGAAACTACACAAATAAAGTCTCGCCATGACTGCCCAAACCTGAGCTTAACAAGGACAACCAACAGACATGCCAAAGTGGACAAGGAAAAGCCCAGGAAGCCTCAACCCTACACAAAGCACTATAGGCAATTGAGAAAACTGAAAGGGGAGATACGGTCTTTCCCCAGGGAACAACACACCAAACTGTTGTCCACTGACAAATAGCGCTACAAACATACATACAGTTAATATTATACAGACTGAATAGGTTATGTTTAAAATAACCTATCCATATACATGCATAATTATAGGTATGCAATAAGTATTAGTGAAAAAAACCAAGAACTTGGAAAGAGGGGAAAGATGTATGGGCAGGTTTGAAGAGAACAAAGGGAAAGGATAAATTTTATAATTAAATTGTTATTGTAAAAATAAAAATCTAAACAATCATTTGCTAAAAATATGTTTCTCATAATTAAGAGAGATGGGAGTTTAACCAATTTGAAGTGCCAGCACCTGGCCAAGGAAGGGTTTTTGTTTTTAAATCATTAATTTTTTTATTATAATATGACAACATTTCCCCCTTCCCTTTCTTCTCTCGAAGACTACCATATACCTCTCTCTTGTTCTTTCAAATTTGTGGTTTCTCTTTTTCATTAATTGTTGTTACATGCATGCATCTATATGAATATACATACATATATATTCCTAAATATAACCTGCTCAGTCGCTCAGTCAGTATAATATGACTTGCATGTATGTTTTCAGGGTTGACCTTTTGTCATTGAACAGCTAATTGATGTGCTTTTTCTTGAGAAGAGAAAGCCTTTTTTTACACTTTTATTGATTCTTTGTGGATTTCACACCATGTATTCCAATCCCACTTGCATCTGCCCTCTGCCCTTGCAACTGCCCTCTGCCCTTGCAACCTCCCCCACAAATCAAAACCAAATTTAAAAGAAAAAACAAAAACCAAACCAAACAAAACCAACAAAAAGTATCTTGTCATTGAAGTTGTAGCTTGGCTTGTTGACTCACACAATTTCTGCTTTAGTCCATTCATCTTTAATTGCAAATTTTCATTGCCTAAAATCATGGTCTGGCTCAAAACTTCTGGTTTCTGTTATGCTACCTATAGTGGGCTCTCACTGGGGCTCCTCTTGGATATACTGTTCTTGTCCTATGTCGTGGAGATCCTGCTGTTTTGGATCTGTAGTTTCGTTCCCTTCACATGCTCCAGCAGTGCATAGATTGAGTGTATGTTGGGGTGGGCCAACTCATAGGCCTGGTTCTGGGTCTGGGTGGTAGTTGGATTGGTCAGCTTGCTAGCTTTACCTCATTGTCACTACCTGGGGAAGTTCTCCAGCTCTGCCTCACCTAGCTAACCCAGTGATGCATTCAGCAAGGAGCAGGGGATAGTTCTCCTGCTCTAGGGACCCCAGCTCTGGGTCTCTCTCACTCACATCAACAGGGCCAACTCTACTGTTTTGTGAGGCCCTTTCTCCTGATTGCTGTGGAGGAATGCCAACTCTCCTACTCTCATACCCTCAGGGCTGGCTCACCTGAGACTCTGACAACAGGATCAGCTCTAGTGTGCTGCCTGGGTGAGGGATAGGGCCCTCTCTCCTGTGTGCTGCAGGTGGTTTGGGGGCTGGGCTAGTTCTCCCTCTCTGGCGACCCAGAGGCTAGCTCTGTCACCTGCTGGGGAAGATTAACTAAGCTTTCTTACTGTTTAATGTTGGATACAGAAAAGAGAGGATACGGGCACTGACAGAGACGAAAGATGATCAGAATCCTAAAAATCATAAGAAGTAAAACTGAATGAAGGGGGAAATGAAGGCAGTGAAGGAAAAGCAACCACATAGAATAAATAGAGAAGAGTGAAACAATGTAAATTTAATATAAGAATAAGAGGGAATAAAGAGAGTAACTACAGCATTATGCCAAAAATGAATGGTATCAATGTCACAACTATTTAAAAAAGAGAAAAATCAAAAGAGCATTAGAAGCTAAATATTTACAATTAATATTCTTAAATCTGATAGTTATTTCTAAAATAGGTTTACAAAAACAAGATATACTCTTTTAAATGCTAAAGTTTATTTTTTGAATTATTTTTGCTTTTAATTATGTATATGGGGGGGCTCTGAGCTGGGGCTCACAGAGGCCAGAGACATCAAAATTTCCCATAGCTAGAATTATGAGAGTTTGTGAGCTGTTTATCATGGGTGCCAGGGACTGAACTTGGGTCCTCTACTAAAGCTGAAGGAGCTCATAACGACTGCACAACCTCTCCAGTTCCTATTCATTTACTTTTATCATTATTATGTATCCATGTACATGATGTCTGAGGTGTGAGTGAATGTAGGCACATACCACAGCACATATGTAGAAGTCAGAGGGCAACTTTGCATGGGTTTCTGGGATTTATCTCACACTCTCAAGATGGCACATCAACCAGTTTTACCCAACATTTTTAAATGTGACATCCAAGCACCGGGTAGATGAAGTCAGGAAGACCCTGGGAGCTCACTGCCTGCCAGCAGCCAGCCAATGCTAATCAGTGAACTCCAGCCCAAAGAGGCATTTATTGCTTTTTCAAAAAAAATTAATGTAGGATAGTAGAACCTAGGATAGCACTTGAGGTTGAGCTCTGGTCTTTATACACATACACATGCACACACATACCCATATATACACATAGGCACCTTTACACACATACATACATACACATTTACAAACACACAAAATACATAATAATACTTTGCAGAAATGAAAACCATAGACAATTATATTGAAATATATTATTGTACATTCAGTACTTAAATATGTAAACCACAAAAGTAAATATAATTATCTCTACTTTGGAAATAAAGGGCATGGATATAATGAACACACTCAGTTCTAAATATTTGTACAGGAGGAGGAAAAAATGTTTTGTAGGCAAGCACTGAATGGCATAAGTGATAGTTAACAATGGGTTTTACTGGAAAAGAGGTCTGAAAATTAACAACCTAATTAGCCAACTTGGAAAATCATAAAAAACAATAAGAGATAAGACTGAAAGATTAAAAGGAAGTAGAGATGAAAGCTCAATTACTCAATGTGAAAACAGGGTTAGGGAAAGACAGGAAACAGAGGTGAGAAGTAAAAATAACAAACATCATAGATGAAAATAGGTTTATCATCATGGAGAAGGCAAACATTAACAACAACAACAAAAAAAGCCAAAGGATAACATGAGCAACAATATGGAGTTGTGGAAATTTAGACAAATGGACAATTTGGCAGAAAAGCAGAACTTATCAAGCAGATACTAGAAAACTTTAATGGAGTTAAGAGAAAGTGTTTTAAGAGTTTAAAGTCATCTCTTTAATAAAACTTTGTAGGTCCAGATGGTTCTAGAAAGTCAAATATTCACTGAAAAGGTCACTCTCAATTACTTGTGACTCCAGAACAATGGCTCCTGAGTTTACCAAAGCTAACATATATGTAACAAAATCCCAACAACGGCATCATAAGACACAGAAAAACTAGGCCATGCTTACAAAAGTCTACATAAGATACAAACAAATTTAAATTTTACATGCAAAAAAAAATACAAATGGGCTAGCCAGGTTGTGGTGGCACACACCTTTAACCCCAGCACTCGGTAGGCAGAGGCAGGCGGATCTCTGTGAGCTCAAGGCTAGCCTGTCTACAAAGCAGGACAGTCAGGGCTGTTACACAGAGAAATCCTGTCTCAAAAAGCAAAGCAAAGAAAAAAAACACATATGGGCAACAAAGAAAAAATTGCAATATTTAAGGATTTCTTAGTGACAGAAGACAGATGGGTGCATTACCACATTATTTTACTAAAGGGGAGAAAATGATCTCTGCATATCAGCGAGCATGCAGCATCAATTCAAGATAAAAACTGGGAATGAAGCAAGCAAGAAGAAGAATGGGAGAACAGACACCGACTTTCACTCCCTGCCCTTAGACCAGTGGGAAGACAAGAGGAAAGACACCCCTAAGAGGAAAACAGTAAACTGAGCACAGAGAGATGTGGCTGGACCACACCATAGGAAGAGGGGTTCCATGGAAATCACAGCAACTCGTGTGGCTGAGAAGACTGAAGTAGAGGTGCTGGAGGCAGCTGGATCGTTGGAGGTAGAGAAGGGAGCCCCGAGAGCAGCCAGCAGCCTCTGGTGAACAGCAGCACGTGAGTGCACACACGCAAAGTCCACGAGGTCACGGAGAGAGACTACACAGTATCTCCCACACCCTGAAAAGAGATGATGGCCAGGTATCCTCAAAGTGAGCAGGGAACAAGGCTCACTTAAGGGTAAAAGCACCTTGACCAGAGACAGATTAAGTCAGAATCTGTGACTTTGCAAGACAGGCCTGAAGCTCCTTTTCAACCACCATCCCAGCTCTGGCTGGCAAATTATACGCTGAAGATTTGCTTTGGCAGAAATTCATCAAATCATGGCAAACAACACATATGTACACACGCACACCCCCCACACCCACACACAAGCCCCCTAAACAGCAGTAACACAAAGGAAGTCAATCATGGGTGAGAGCTCACAGGCCCTGGGTTGAACTTACTATTATTCTGATAATGGACAGATTATCAAACTTCCCTCTAAAATCGTATCTCTTTACCCGTAGATCAGTGCAGCCCTCATCGGAGAAGTTTCTTTGTGCAGTGGATGGTGGACAGTGCAGAAACCCACAACTGACCTCGGTGCAGAGAGTGAGTGTCAATGGAGCATTCATCTACAAATGGGACGAGATGGGGGGAGAGCCAGAATCGAGAGACAACTACAGTGAAAAGTCCGTTCTGGATATGACAGGACCTTTGTGCTCACACTCTCATGTCACCTGTGCTGTCTGTACAAGATCAAGCCAGTCAACATTCTAGCATAGTAGGTGAAGAGTTCATTAGCCCGGACCCTTAACTGAGGAGCTCTGGATAGTGATGGCTTCTGGGGGACAGGAGAGTCGCTTCTCTTTAAGGGTGTGGCCTCAACACTGTAGTGGCTGGTGCCACACCTAGGAACATGTGTGCAACACATGAGGGAATTAAGAATTATATTTATAAAAGGAAACAAAGTTACGGGGCTGGGAGGTGGGGATAGATCTGGGAGGAGTTATGGAGAGGGGCTGGGGTGAATATGATCAAAACAGTATATGAACTTCTCAAAGAATTAATAGAAATATTCAACTTTTTAAAAGGAAGGTTAATCGAGAGAAGCCTGGTAGTGCAGCGGGTAGTGCGCTAGCCTCATGAAAGTAAGGTTAACTGAGAAATCAGAAAGGATAGCCCAGCCAAACCACTCCAAGCGAAACTAAGTGGTAGCAGGCACCTGTTGTAATCATCATTCTCTGATTTCCCAGACAGGTAGAAACCCAGACACAAAGACAACACACTTGTAGATCTTGCAGAACTTGAAGCAGCCTCAGTAAAGAGAAGGGGAATTTCTTGCCCTCCTGATTCACCCAGAGCAAGGCAACCTCAGAAGAGTAAGTCAGCCCCGTTCCAGGGGCCTGGTCATTCTCCGGAATTTCTCCAGCAAGACTATGAAAAGGAAGCCAGCCGCACTGCTGCATAATTTATACACAGTTCACTGCGCCCACACTGCCAGGCCCCACTCTCAAGGGAAACCTTTTGTTCTCTGCTTGGGGAATGTAGAACCTGGAGAGTCTCAGTTGAGCAAGCCAGGGAAAAACAGAATAATTAGAGTTAAGGATGGGGATAAATTACTAAGATATTCCTGGCTGCAGCCTTTGGCACTTCGTGGGCCTGTGATGGCTCTGTGTTTTTCAAAGCATCCAAAGGACAGAGTTACCAGCACTGAAGATATCGCTCAAGGAGAGATATAACAATGGCTCAGGCTGGACTACTAATCACATCAGCAAAGGGACAAGAGGGGCTTCTTTCTGAAGAAATACCACTGTACCAATTGGAGCTACTTCTGTTAGCAAGCTGTCAGAACTCAGGCTTGTTAATGCCGGCTCTGCACTTCATCAACACTTGCTGACAGGTTCCTGACAGACCATAATAATACAAGTGCAGGGCAATATTAAGTTGCCTTTTCAGTTAGACTTGCTGGTAACAGCTCAAATGTGGCCATGACAACATGAAAAGAATAAATAAGCTGAAGTAGTTTTCCCATGCTCTCAGAGAAAGACATCTCACTGTCAAAAACAAAAGATAAAAAGCCGTTGCCAAAATATTCCAAAATCTGAGTGAAATCCTTGGGTTTGAGGATTAACATTTGACTGAAATCATTTTAAATGATATTAATTAGGGGTAATATGAAAAGCAGTGGACAAGCAGAGAGGGATGGAATGCTTGTGCAAGGCACTGTGCACTGTCTGTGTGGGCTACTAAACCTCACAGTAACCTTGAGAAGATAACGCCACAGCCCCGTGTGACAGAAAAGGACAAAGAGCTCAGCAAGGTGGAGCAATTACTTGAATCCATTAGGAAGGAGTGGGCAAAAGCTGATACCTTGTTCTGATCAATTAAAGTCTACTACTAAAGCCAGAGAAATGGATTAGTGGGTAAGGGTGTTTGCTGCCAAGCCTGATGACTCTTGACTTCCATTCCCTGGAATCCACACAGTGAAGGAGTGAACCAGCTTCTATTGGTTATTCTCTGATCCACATGCAAGCCATGGCATATATGTGCCCAAACACACACACACACACACACACACACACACACACACACACACACACAGGTGTAATCAAGTCTTCTGTTGTTAACTGCGTGTTCATTCAGGCCCATCCAGCAAATGGTGTTTATAAGACACTGCAAACGCAAAACAAGACGTGAAAGAGAACTAATTTTGATGTAGTGTTTTTCCTTTGTTTCCCTTCTCTATGTCTTCTTTTGTCTGTATGCATATGCAAATGTAAATGTTCATGTATATATTCAGGATTGATCCTGGGTCTTGAATGTCCCAGTCAACTGTTGTACCGCTGAGCTAACACCATTCCTCTTCAACATTTTTTTTTTTTGGTTTTTTGAGACAGGGTTTCTCTGTATTGTTTTGGAGGCTGTCCTGGAATTCGCTCTGTAGACCAGGCTGTCCTCGAAGTCACAGAGATCCACCTGCCTCTGCCTCCTGAGTGCTGGGGTTAAAGGTACGCACCACCAACGCCTGGTACCCTCTTTTCTTCTTAATAAAGACAAAATATGAAACCAAAACTGAACAGCTACACAGAGCAAATAATTAGCTGCCTCAGAATCACTGGAAGGTTGACTAAAGAAAGCATAAAACTTAAGATGTTCAGAAAGGAGATTGGCACCACAGCCAAGGACAACAAGGAGACACTCCCTGGAGGGTGAAACTCGACTTCCCACTCTTCAGTAGACCTTGCTTTCTGGGGCTCTTCTCAGAAGAGTCTACACCGTGCTCTTCAGTGTGGCTTACTTTCTTCTGGTCACCGTTGCTTCTCTCAATCCCTCATGCTTAATTAAGCTTATAGTCAACTATCTTTATTAAATCCCAAGTTTGCTTTAGCTAAAAAAAGTAGAAATGAATATTTTCAGAATTGTTATAAAGTCAACATATTAAGACTTAAGAATTAAGAATAACAGTAAAGAACAATCATGGAAAGGCAAATAGCTTCGAAGACACCCAGGGTTCATAGTGTGCAGCCTGGCATTAAAAAGCCTGAAGATGACTGGAGAGATGGTGCTGAAAGACATGGTGATTTTCCTCACACTCAATGTCCAAACTGGCTGCCACTTTCCCAATGACAGAAACAAGATTTGAAACTCAAAACCCCTCAGAGTGTTTAGCAGACTTCCTGCCTGCCTTCTTCCTCTGTCAACTTGAGTCACAGTCTAGAAATGGTGGCATGCTTCTCCCATGCTGAAAACATGTTGGGAACACATCATTACTGCCTCCTCTGTCCTCGAGGTGGCTGAGGTGGCTATCATGATGGCCACAAGAAGCCCAGGAGAGCACCATGGTGATGCCAGGGTCCTTATGTTACAGTGCCAGCTGTTCTGGCATCTCAGTAGCTGTCTACTTACTTACTAAACTCTCAGGTCTAAAAGTTTTTTTTATCATAGATGAACATCTCTCTGACACAAAGGGCAAAGTCAGATTAAGAAGCAAGGCAAGGAAGCAAAAACTTTGAAATAGAGCTGAATTACAAGTATGAACATGAAGTTCCCATGAAAAAAATTAAAATCACTCTACTCAAATTTACTCACAACTGAAAATACCACATGGCTAATTTATGGAAACACTTGCCCAGTCCCAAACTATAAATGTCAGCGAATTTCTGTATGTTCGAATGGCCATTCTGAAGCAATGGATTTCTGTTTGGGGTTTTACACTTCTCTATCAATTACTTTTCATTCACTTATCCACCCCAAAAGTGGTGTGGTGGGAGAGCAAGCAATTGAGAGAAATTATGACAGAGTTGTAACTGAAAAAAGAATCAGCTTTATATCCCAGTTGGTGATTCATTTTAAGTTTTCAACCAATACAAGTTCTTGTCTTTAAGGAGTAACAATAGACGGTGGTGGCGCATGTCTTTAATCCCTGCACTCAGGAAGCAGAGGCAGGTAAATCTTTGTGCAATTCAAGGCCAGCCTGGTCTACAAAGCTACACAGAGAAACCTTGTCTCAAAAAATTAAAAACAAAGAAAAAAGAAAAGAAAGGGAAAGAGACATAAAAATGACCTTAAAGCAAAGTTTGCAAAAGTCTTTAGGTATCAAGGTCCAGAAACTGGGAGAAAACGATGTTAGTTATTCAGAAGAAATTCTGGGACCAGGCCATTTAATGAGGAGAAGCTGGCATTACTTCTCTGACCTTGGGATTGAACAGTCGGTCAGGGGATGAGAACACCCCAATGTCTGCTAATATGAGAGGCCTGCCTTTAAACTCACTCAGCCTTCAATTCCAGGTCCTGCGCAAAGGTTCCTAGGAACACTATCTGCATAACTGGTGAGAATTTCACAGGGAGAACAAGACGCCCACGTGGAATGACTGAAGAGGAACTACACCTACACATATGAAGGAAGCTTTGCTGAAGAGTCCTGAGCAGGGAAGAGCTGTGCACCAGGAGACAAAGTTTGAGGATATGAGTCAAGCAGGGTACCCAGTTCTGGCTCTTGGCTCTATATGGGACATGGAATAACTGGCCCCAACCACTACAGAAAGGTGCTAAAGTTAGCATGAGCAGAGGTTAGGGTTTGGGTCAGATACGGTGATGCTGTCATTACTGAGGCATCCTCTGCCCCACCCCCCAAAATGTGATGACAACTAAATGAAGCACTTATTTCACAAATGTGTTACAATACCAGTGCTGCAGAAATTCATAGATCACAGGCCCAACAAAAAGTACTGATCTTGTCCTCATTTTTTTAATCAGTATCAAAATCATCACCTAGTTCCCTCTGAGAACGAAAATAAGGAATGAAAATTTAAAATTAAAACTGTAGTATTTGTTTGAACACATGACTAAGGCTGCTACAGAGAAATGAGATGCTTTTCATCTGATACCTAGAATCTGAATGAAATGAAATGGTACGAGCAACCTGACTTAGCTTTGTTCAACCCAAGACAGCGCTGAACTGAAAATTGAGCTTTTAGTTCATGTTTTCAACTTGGAAATCAATGTTGGTTCCATATCCTGTGGCCTTGGCCCATTTAGTGGTAAGAAACCATTCAGAATGTTCTATCCTCTCCTGGAGGATTTATTAACACCCAAACATAGTTTTGTTGATGTGGAACATGACACTGTAGAAACATAGCTCACCCCTTGAATAGTTCAGAAGAACATAAGGGAAAGAACACATGAAGAGAAACACAGAGAGCAATACAACATCAAGTGTGCTGGTGCGAGTCCATAATGTCAGTCTCCAGGGGACTTAGGCAGGAGGATAGTGAGTTTCATGCCAGCTTGGGCTATATAACAAGACATAAAACACATAAAAATCAATGTAAGGAGTTTTTTTTAACATGGATATCTACAAAGCGTGAAAGAAGCTGGGAAGGTTTAAATAATTATTTCCTGTAAGTTATAGGCATCAATTAAGAAATATAACAGAAAAATTGAAACAAAAACCATGGTGGTGGTACACATGCCCAATATCAGTACTGAGCCAGAAACAGCTTGCCTATTCTCTGTCATAAACAAATGTGTATCATTTTGAATGGCTCTCTGAAATCAGTGCCAGATGGGCCTGGTTATGCATTCCAGAAACACCTGTATTTTCTTACAATCGTGATAAATCTTTTTAAAATAATTTTTAACTTTAATTTAAAAACTCACAAATAAACACCACCGGTCAAAATTAATTAGACACAAAGTCTTAATTTTGACACGCTACTAAATACCCAAAGTATTAATCTTGATAAATTCCACCACCTTCAGGTATTATTTCTTTGGAATTTGACCCAGGACTGATTGACCTGTCCTGTGTGATATCGCTGCCTCCTGTCATCAGCCCTTACTCCTAAATGGCCACTCTTCCCCCTGCTCTGCTCTGCGCCCCTGAAGCATAGCTGGTGTATTCAGCATGTTGGGCTTCCTCGGAAGGCTGGCAAACAGATGTTAAAGGTTCATGGAATTTCAAGCTATCCCTGAAGTCTTCTTTAACTACTTTCCACATATATAAATAGCTACTTCATTCCTGCATGGCGGTCTGCTCTCCATGACTGAACTCCTATTAATGCATGATGTCTTCTTCGATGATTCATTTTAAAAACAAGCAAAGCCACCAACAAAGACAAATAGGAGGTTTCTGCTCAAATGTAAATAAATAAAAAACTCTTAACTGAAGAAGAGGCTGCCTGCTTTATATCTTTCTAATGACCCACAACAAGGAGCTTGTAGAGCCTCTTAAGTGAAAAGCCTCAGAAAAGGAAAAAATGCACTTGTCCTGTGCCAAACTTGCTTACAATTTCCCTAGGATCACCACGCGTCTCTATAATTGAGACTACTCTTAAGGCTTATTTATAAATCAGATATGAGGGGAAAATACACAAGCTAAAATTCATTAATATCCCTTGTGTACCATTTTTGCTTCTTTTGAGCATTGTAAAGCAGTATATAACAAACAAATCACATCTCATAAATCAAGCAACTGGAGAAAGTGAGAGGTGAATGATCCATGGCAGGTTTAAAAGATGCCTCAACCTGCCACGTGGGGTAATGGTATTCCAGTGACCCACAAGACAGATTTTGAGGGTATGAGACCTGTATCTCATGTACATGTGAAATCAATGACAGTGTACTAATCATACCCAGCACAAGTTATTATAGGCAAAGATCAGTAAGTTGAGAGAATAGCGTCCAACGGACCAGAAATGAAATGAAGAACAAAAAGGAATATGAAGTACAAAGGAAAACTGTGTCTGGAGAAGAGAAGGGTGTGGAATATGGAATAACCAACTTTAGGAAGCAAAATGGTTTTTAGTTGAAAACATCTTTGTTTACATTTAATGAAACCAATGAGCATAATTATAGCAAGGCAGATTGAATTCTGGGTGAAGCCGCTGATAGGACTAGACAACCAT